GATGTTAACCATATCGACATAGCGAAAAATGTCCCAAAGAAACACTTTCTTACACAGGGAAAACTGTAAGGAAGGAGAAACCAGATAGTCACTCTGCCAAGCAAACTAAGTAAACATTACCAGAGACTATCAACATGCCTTCTGATGTGATACACTGAGAAAGGGGCAACATCACGCCTGAAGCAATCTTCCCAAAAATGCAAACCTTAAACTGAGTCGCAAAGAAACATCAAACATTGAGGAACATTTTATAAAATGACTGGTTTATACTCTTCAAAGGAATTAAGCTATGAAGACCAATTGAGGAAGCTTTACAGATGAGAAGAGCTTAAGGACACATGACAATGAAATGTGATACCTGAGCATGAGCCCTTGGTATCAGCTCCTCTTTTTCCCTCCTTTCCCCACCTTCCCACCCTCATGATCCCTTGATAAATTATAAATTATTAATATTTTCTACCTTCAGTAGTCTTAAAAAAATAACCATTAACTATCAAAGTAAACCAGTGTTTTGAATGTGCTCCTCTTGGTTTTTGGTATTTATTATTTCCAGCAGAATATGAAGAAGTTGTTTCTTTTAAAATATTAACCACCACCAAAAATTTAAAATGTACATAACAAACTATGGATATCCTTAAGAATATTGGGAATTCCAGAACACTTCATTGTGCTCACAAAGAACTTATACCTGAATCAAGGGGCAGTTGTGCCAATGGAACAAGGGAAAACTTCATGGTTAAAATCAACAAAAGTCAGGGTTATATCCTACAATCATACCTACTCAATCTGCATGCTAAGCAAATAATCAGAGAAATTTCATTATCTGAAGAAGAATGTAGCATTCGGAATGGAGGAAGCCTTATTAACAACCTGATATACAATGAAACAATCTTGCTTGTCGAAAATGAGGACTTCAGCACTTGCTGATAATAATCAAGTGCTACAGCCTTCAGTAAGGATGTCAGCTCAATGCAAAGAAAAAACATAAATCTTCACAAGTGGACCAACAGGTACATCATGATAAATGGAGGAAAGATTGAAGCTGTCAAAGATTTCCTCTTGTTTGGATCCACAATCAATGCTCATGAAAGAAGCAGTCAAGAGATCAAGGAAGCATTCCATTAGGTAAATCTGCTGCACAAGA